ATGTCTCTATAATACTATTACATCCCAATATATTAACTTTTCAAGAATTCTAAGGGTACTTGTTAGAATAATGAGGTTCTATTACATGTCCATTACCAGAGGTTATTTTATTGATTCCTCTGATTTCCTACCCCCTTTTTAACCAGTTCTAGGCAATCACAATAATTGCTGCGATGAAGACTAACATATCACACTTATTTGTAAGAAAATATTTGTAAGAGATTTGAGACAGAATGGCTATTTATCGTTACCCTGTTATTTTAGGATGTTCAAAACCACCAGCCCAAGAGGACAGCCCCAAAATGGATTATATTGTATTCGGAATTCATCTACCAAGCCTGGAAAGGTAACTCATAGTAAAATCCTCAGGTTAATGAAATTTCAATTGCTGAATTATTGCAATTAAAGTGGAAGATGGCTAAAGGTTTTAGCAACCTGAAAATGCCTTTTTTAAACAAAAATAAATATACAAGCAGCAGCTGTTCTAACCTGCTTGCAGAACTCTGAGGATCTAAGATACCTGGCCAGTTGAGGAAATGTAACTGATTTTCTCCAACTTACTAATAAATGAAACAGTAAGATAATGTTTTCTTTGCTTAAATTTTAAATATAACACACATCATTTTTTCTAAAGGTATTGGTTGTATGGGATGAGTCTACAGAGAAAGTAAGGAACTACAGAATCTTTGAAAAGGTTGGTATCAATGCTATATATATAGAAAGATTCTCTCTGGTGTTTATTCCTAGATATATAAATAAGATGGTCTAAACCCCAGTTCCCTCGCCCTGGAAATGTAGAAAAGCCTGAACTTAAAAAAAGCAAATCTGGATCCAGAGCCTAAATACTTTTGATCTGGGCTTTCCAGTTAATGAATTATGGAGATGAGGAACCACCTGTAATATTCTGATCCAAATCTGAAAATCAGTAAAACTGAGGCCAATGGGTTTTTGGATCTCTGAGCTAAGTTGGGGTTGGTCATTCATGTATATGACTAGCTTGTTGCATATAAGAATTTACTAAGTTGTGGTTTGTTTGAAAGTACTTCATAGTTCCGAGGATGGGTAGGTGTTTTGCCCTTGGAAACAGTAGCATTTCTAGGTGTCAGAGATTACAGAAATGTTTCCTTCCCTCTAACAGGATACAAAGTTTTACCTGGACTCAGACACCATGTTTCTGAACCTTGGAAGTTTGATTGAGTACTACTCCACCCATGTCTTACCCAGCCATGACACCCTCACTCTCGGATGTCCTTATGGCTACTCTGGACCAAGGTGACGCAACCTGTATAATTCACTGACTGAGGTAAAAGGCACTGTGGAAAGATGGGCTCTTAGAGGAATGGTAGTTCCTACGAGCCTATAAAGTGAACAGAATAGCCACGCTGTTCGGCTTGACTGGGTTCGTTCTTTGCACACATGAAGACTGAGTTTGTTTCAACCACTTGTCCCACGGAGTATGGATTGCATACAGACTTCATCTAATGATCCCTTTGGTAAAATTTTCCAATCCTGATCACTGGACTTTGTTGGGCCTTTCTCCAAAGAAAGCAGTTTGGCTATGCTGTGAGAAGTCTTTGCAAGATTCGTGCCTTTTGTAGAACCGCTGCTATTACTTTCCTAGGCATGTGGATGTGAAGCTGGAGGATGGACATGGCCAAAGCAGTGTTGTGAACAAAACCAGTAGGAATAAGGAACTTCTGAAAGTAAAGCACAAGCTTCTTGTGCTCAGGAATACTAACTGACTGACATTCACGCTTTGAGTCAATATTGGTGCTTGACTGAGGTTTTGTAGTAATTTATAATTAACTTGTAAATAAATAACTAGAGTATTTCTGGCAAAAGTTGGATTCTGTGTGGCCAGAGGAAATCAAAAGGGCCACCTCTGAAGTCAGACCTTGCAAAAAAACATCCTCTGATCACTGTATCTGACTTCCAGGGTGTACCACAAGTACCTCCCCAGGGGACTGCTCATCTTGGAGCTCATCTCAGTTTTCTATGATGCTCAGTGTTAGCCACTCAGGACAGTTGTGGAATAGTATTGATTTTACTCTAAGGAAAGCTCTGTTAACTAGTTCTCAGCAGGGAGAGTGGTACCACTTTTTTTCTCTTCCTGAGTGCATGGGAAAAGAGAAAAAGAACATGTGAGCTAAAGTGGAGAAAACTCTGGAGCATACCCCAGATTCTCCTCAGAAGGCCCCTACAGAAGGAAGGAACAAGAAAGATGGGCCTAATATTTGAATCACTAATGAATAATTTATAAAATCTTATTAAAACGCTTGGATTAAATTGTCAGTCTCAAATTCTGTACGTGTGAAATACATTGTTCTCATTGCACCTTCTGGGAATCTGAAATTTATTCTCTGCCATTTTTTTTTAATTAGCTACTTGGTTTGGCATCCAATAACTCTGGGATCATGCGTGTCTCACTGTTTTAATATATGAATTCATTTTCTGTCGGCTAAGAACAACATGTGGAATTTAAAAAATCCCTATCAATACAAGGTGCTTGTAGTTCTTCTTACCAAATTTGTGTAGAAGAGTCTTACAGCCAAGGTGTTAAGAGAATCACTTTAACATCATTGACTTTTTCTAGTGCACGTTATTAAATGTCCTGCATTTCACATATATCAAAAGTTCTGTAATTATGTCCTTGGAAACAAGTTTAATCTTTCTGAACCTGAAATGGAACTAATCCAGCTTTATATGGTGAGGCTTCTGATTCCAGATTGGGGAATGGCCTTTCTTCTTGAGATTGGGGAATGGTCTTTCTTTTTGTTGACTTTCTGCACACCAGCTTTAATCTCTGACACTAACTTTTGCTTATTTAAATTATATGCATTGAACAAGATGGTTACAATGTGCGAGTCTTCTGTTTATAAAAAATTAATTAAATATGGTTTGGTGTTTTGTTTTTTTTTCAAATTTACCAGAAGTATTGCCTCTGATGAATTCTTGAGAGGGATGTTTGGAGCCACAATTCCTAGCTTCAGATTGCTGCTTTGATGCTTTTGAACTGACTTATCTGTAATTATATTTATCTCTACTTAGCCTTAAAGTGTGTTTATAAATGTAAGCTAACACTACCTTGGAAAACCACAGTGCTACAAGCATTGGATTGTGATTTTAATTGGTAAAAGCTTTTCTTTTTCTGTGTGGGTATTCTCTGGATGTTCTTCTCTGACTGTGAACATTCAGCCAATCAAGTGCCTGTAAAAACTAGTCAGAGCGGTTCTATGATGCGTGCAGAGAGCCAGCCTTAGAAGAGAGAGGATTGCCCAGATATCACTTGGATTTTTCCCCCTTCAGAAGTTAATCAAATTAATTCTGCCCCCTGTGGAAAAATATGATGTTGCCATAAAAGGCCATTCACTCACACTTACAGACTTGCTGTGTTGCAGGGCGCAGTGAGTTCAAATATATAATTTTGGTAGCATTTTGTTTAGGCCCTTATAATGAATATTATTAATCTCAAATCCCTTAAACTGGAAAACATGTAATCAAATATAATAAAACATAACACTGTCTTTGTGTATAGTATGAGATTTGCAAATATGTAAATATTCATTTTTCTATGCCTTAATTTCCTTGTGATAAACCTTTGAACATGTATGTCTATGAGCTGAATAAATTTTAAGGCCAGTTCCTATGAAACATGCATTATCACTCACCTGTAATATACTTAAAAGGAAGAACTTGTCCTCTTGTTGGGCTATGTTTAAATGCACGTGCTCCTAGAATTCTGATCTATTTTTTTCAACGCCATTGAAGAATAGCGGTGTTCATGGGAAGCTCTTTCAGAAGCTTACCATTTCAGCAAACAAATATGAATTATGCACCTGCATCATTTTATTTATGGAGACGAATCCATAAATAAAAAAGAATATCACTGAACGTGGAGTAGCCTTACTGTAAATAAGACCCAGGACTCCAAGAATGTAATGGAGCTGGGATGGGTAAGTTCTTTGATGTGTCCTGGATAGACTCCTATTATGTAGCCCATTCTGCATTTCCCAGGAGGCTGGTGGTTTGTTTGAATGGAATCTCTATCTGAGAGTCTCTCTCTAAAGCAAGGTGATCCTGGGCAGGTAAGACTTTGCCTAGAACTTGTCGCTCAGTACTTGGTGCTGCCATCAGTTACAATGTACCAGTAATTGTGAGTCAGCACTGGCCATCCCCACTTGTTAGAAGTTTTCTTTTTGCATGCAGAACTAAGAGAAAACACTCGTGTCACTTGGGTACAACTTTGACCTTTTTAAAAAAAGGCTGGTGGGCACATGAGTTAGAAGAAATATACCTTACAGCAACGACTCTAAACCAGTGGATTTGCACAGGGGTGATGTGCTTGCCTACTTGTAAGTACTAAGGAACCTTTCTATGTTTAAAGATTTCCAAAGAGCAGAGACAGCCAACAAGCCAGTCTATCCACAAAATGAGAGAAAAGGAGTGAGAACCTGAGTTCAAGAACCAAGTTGAGAGAGGTCTTGCCCCAGTTTACCTTCACTTAAAACCTTCTCTTTGGCTAGGGACAGACATTCAGAAAGACAGAGCCTGAATTGATTCCATCTTTGCAGGTTAGTCTAACCTGCCGAGGTTGAACTGTTTGGTTTTTTTTTGGTGGGTTTTTTTTTAACAGCACCGATATTCTTTGTGGACTGAGGAAATGCCGACACGTGCCTGCAGTTGTTCAGGCCAGGAGCCGAGGGGGTACTACAGCGCACCCTTAGCTGCAGGGAAGTTGTGTGTGGGGGGTGGCCAGCCTGGGCAGTAGCCTTGGCTGAACTGGCCATGGAGGGGTTTAATTCCCACCCCCACCCCCTTCCACTGGAAGGGACCCAAGCCAGGTCTGTTGAGCCCTCACCCCTCAGTGATGCAGCAGCAGGTCACCATGGCTTCTGAGGCAGAGTGGGTAGGGAAAGGGGTTATTTTCTCCACTGTCCCCCAGGGACTGCAGCCAGGTCTACCCACCCTGACCACCGTTACTCACTCCCTGCTTGGGGCAAGCAGTAGAATAAAACCCTGGATGCCAGAGGGAGCAGAGGTAAACCCTGCCCCAGGGCCCTGCCGGCCGGTGTCTAGCTGCACCCCTGCTTGGCAGCTGCAGCAGCAAGGGGGTAAGGCTCTTGATAGGGGCAGCAGCCCCTATCGTAGTGTTGGGGAGCATGAGCCCTTTCTCAGGGAGGTGGGGGGGGCACTGTGCTGTGGGGGTGGGCAGAGCTGTGGCAGACTGCATGGTAGCACCAGGGCTTGGAGAGGGCCAGAGCCCCCGCCAGCACTGCCATCCTCTGTACAGCTTTCCTCGCCGCACAGCAGGCCGCCTCCCCGCCCCCCACCGCCCCTGTCAGGAAGGGGCTCACACTTGGGGAAACTGGCAGGCTTGCTGTCCCATCATGGTTGCTCCCCCCTCACTGCTCCAGCGGCTGAGTGCAGGTGGGGCCAGACTCTGGCCAGCTGTGCCCTTTTAGGTGGGGGGCAGGGAGTGGGGTTATTCCCCCCTCTACTCCCAGGGCACCATAGCAACGTCTGCCCACCCCGAGCACTGCCATTGCTACCACTTGCTCTGTGCCAGGGCAAGCAGTGGAATAAAGCCCCTTCACCAGATGCCATACGACCTGTTTTTAAGAACAGGTTGTCCTAGCCGCCTGCGGAGGGTTTAGATTGAGAGTGTGGTCGGGGGTAGAAAGGTAAGAAAGATTTGTTGACTTAAAAAAAACCCACAACTACACATAATAACAAGACAAACGATGACAGACAAAAGCAATTCGCATTGGCAACTTATCGGCAGTCCCTCTGATGCCTGATACACAGCAAGCTTCTTTCTGCACAAAGTTCAGCGAGGTCAGGTGTCCCCGAACAATGCTGTCAGAGGGGTGTTGGGAAGGACCCTGGAATACAGTTCTTGGGCTCCTTGAGGTCCACAGGCCCACTGATCCAAGCAACAGCTAACTAATCCTTCTCACAGAGCTTCATCTTCCTTCTGAATGGTTTCCAGATCTTTCAGCTAATTTATAGCTTTTGAAGGACACTGGTAACGTACGACCACTCAGATTCCTTTTTCTTCAACTGTCCATAGACTGACCAAGAGCAATACAAGCCTTGCATTCCTTTGATAAGGTAATTTTAACTGCGCCACAGGGCCTTACTACTTCTAGGCTTTGCTAAATTTACTAGGCCTTACTTTATACCAGGCCTCACTACCTCTTAAACTATAATTAGGCTTTTAGCAACAACTTGTAGCTTAATATCTAAACAAATACAGAAAAACACTTGGTCTAATCTGCATAGAGCCTTCAGCAAGCATGTTTATCACACAGACATACTTTTCAGCTGCCACACAGGTCAGACAAACGCTTGTCTAGGATGACTTGAATAGCCTTGGGTGCAGGTTGGACTTTGACTTCTGGGGTTCCTTCTGGTCCTATCTTTCTATGATTCTATGAATTGCTCCCTCCCTCTCTTAGTCCAAGGTATATGTCAGATCACAGGCTCTTTGTCTTTGTAACTTTCCCAAAAAAAACAGAAGCTGCTGCTCAGCAAGGGCAACAAAATAAAAATGAAGGTTTGTGGAACAAGTAAATGAGGTAGATCTGAGCCAGAAGCCTCATATGCTTTAGAAAGCCAGTGATGATAAGACACTAGAAACATTGCAACTTTAAAACTCCTTTTCTGATTTCTTTGCAGAAAAATCCAGCCTGGAGTAAGGGAGCTTGGATATAACATTCCAGGGAGATGGGCCCTGTTAGGGAAAGATGGCAATTTTTGGAAGATGAAGCTTATAAAGCAAAGTTATTTCAGTCACAGCTGACAGTAGTTAAGACAGGATGGGGTACTGAAAGACGGAAAGAACATTTGATCTTATTATTATATACTGTCTCGGCCATAAGGCGAGCCCACTTGTGGACCCAGGCATTCTTGTGCTAGGCACTGAACAGGGATCTGTATCAGGATTCTCCTTGTCCAATGTGTTCAAAATTTAAAGACTGGAGGTACGTGGATACAGACACGTACAAGGTAACATTGCTGATCAGCATGATTAAGCAATTTGTGTGCTGAAACTATAAATCTTTTGCATTGTAATCCAAGACTGTATTCACTCCTAGTCTCAAACACTGTTGTAAGGAAGCTGTAATTGGAAGGACGTTTAATATCTTTAAAAAATATTTTCAGGTAGATTTTTAATTTCTGGTTTTGACAGCAGAGGCACTGTACACCATTCCTTTGTTACAGAAGTGCTATATGAAGTACTTTATCCTTGGTTATTCATAGCTGTATAACTTAAACAGGTGAGTTC